TGAGCATAAAAAAAACGTGTATTTTACTGACATTTCGGCCTACACATTCTTCTGGGTAGAGCGTTTTACAACAACACTATTAGTACTAACTGAAATGTTTTATCCCTAGGTGAGTCAGAGGTAGGATTATGAACTTACAACTATTAAATCCGGGGTTCGATCCCCGAGGTATAGTCAGTGCAGGTACCTCGTTGTATACCTTTATGCCGAAGAAACAACAACAAAAACGCTTTATCGAGAAGAAGACATAGGCCGAAACGTTGGTAAAATAAACGTTTTTTTTTCTCTGGCCCTCAAATCGTTTTTACTTGTAGAATGAGTTATTTACGCAGGTACTCACTACGTTATTTAAACATTTATGTTAGAAATTTTACTTTGTTTCACAAAAAACAAATTTTAACAATATATATTTTGAAGATAATCTTCCATTGTCATTTCTCGAATTGGTGGAAAGTTACAAATCCAGCATACTTGCCAATTATTGTTTGAAGGCTCCATATATTTATTACTTTATAACTTAAAATGTAGTTTTAGACAGACTTTATGAAAGATAAAAATTTCAACAAATTATCTTCGACATGGTGATATATATATATATGAAGCAATCTATTTTGAAAAACATTTCATCTTAGCGTCACCTAGCGTAAGCTTGTTGTACTTATTGTATCAGTAAGTAATATTTATCAACATATAAGATTTTGTTTGTTTGTCTCACAGCCACGCTTTGGGCTATCTTCACTGTGTCCTCTGAGAAGATTGAAACCAGAATTGTAGTGTTGTAAACCCTTAAGCTTACCGCTGTACCACTATATATAACATCATATAAAATTATATGTTAGATCTCTTAGGTATTGCATAACAAGCACCTGCTTAAATTCTATTTGTTAAAAGTAACACGTGGCTTTGTTGCTGGACGTTCAGCTGCTGAATGGCAGTGTACACACTAGTTTGGTATCTTCGTTAGCTATTCTTTAAAGAAACAATCCAGAGAAAGTACACATATTAATGAAAGATAAGGCAGGAAAGAGGAATTTGACATACCTAAAATTCATTTTGTAGTTGTGACGGATTTATTATTGTATATTTATTTAATAACAACATTTGTTTAGATTAAGTTTATATTTAGAAACATGCATAGCTTATAGTGTTAAATAGGTATTGCGAAACTCCCGCCTATTCTCCAAAGTTGTAGAAGATTCTCGAGTGTAAGAATCAACAATATATGTATGTACGTAAACGCTTAATCTGGCTTTGTATTGTTACGTAATCTGAATTTTCTAGAAACACACCACACGCCTATAAATATAACCAACACGAAATGCCAAAAAAAGAGTATCTATTATTGGTTTGCTATAGTTGGTGTGCTATATACTTTGAAAGCTATAACTGTGATTGTTATAACGCTTATTAAT